CTTAAAAATCTACTTTATATTCAATTAAAAAGATGTTATATTTATGGCGCTCACTTGATATCCTCAAGTTTTACACTAAACTTTGATCTAATGAGTAAAATGAATTTGAAATGCGCACGAAGGTTTCGTCGACTTGGTCTGCGACTAATTTGTTTCACTTTAATTGCTGATTTATGTAGACATCTATCTATCGGCCAATGATAATCCTAAAAAATATGCTATTAGTTGTTGGGTATTACTATAGTTTTTGGAAATGAAATTGACCTACTGCTGCTGTACGGGGATACTTATTAGAAATCGCTTATTCTTTTCAAGAAACTTCCAAACGAGTGCATGCAGTTTTAGCAGTTATCACATCAGATAACGGACTTAAAATTCTGTTAAAAGTTAGTGCAGTTTAAAATTTAAAAGAAAAAGGAAAATTAAAAAAAACTTTAATTTTTTTTTCAGAAAAAATACATTTGCTGTCAAACCCTATAAACTTACTGCATGACAGTTTACCTGAAGTTAAATTTTTATAAATCTTGATAAGCTGTTGATTTTAACCAATGCTACATTAAGGTCACAGATCGGTTCGATACGATGGTGTTTTTGACGCAAACAGTTGAGGCTATGAAGAATAAAGCAACTTATTCAGTATGAGCAATAGTATCTAGTAAATTGTTTTATAAGTAGTTGTTAGAGATGATTTAGAGTATCAAATAATACTGGAGTACAGATACTCTTTGAATGTTTCTGAAGAAGTCTCATTGCGCTTGAAAGGTTGTCAGTAAACAGGATACATAGTTACAATTAAAGAAGGAAGTGGAAGGAAAAAGAAGAAAAAAAAATTGGAGAACCAGAAGTATAGTTGTGCTTCAAAGGAGTGTTGCCGATATGTCTGTTGGCGGTGTGGTAACGATTATTAATTAAGCATCGTCTGATACTGGTTTCAAGCTGTTTTATGAGCTGCTTATGTCATTTGTCATTCGCTTAGAAGTACAGTTATACGTATAACTGATAGCAGCTTAGTTGGCTTTTTTTTTGTTTTTAATTATGTCAGAGTTATGTCACAAAGGGTATTTCACATCGCTAAAAAACAACATTTTAAAAGGTTATTGGCAACTGTTTCTCTTTTCTGCTTTCCGTTGCTAAATACATCCAATAGAATTATCGGAAGATATCTGTGGTAATTCTGTTTCAATGTAATATTACAGGACTCAAAAAAGTCGGAAACTGTTTTGTTAAAAGAAAAAAA